AGCTCAGCCCACCAGGGGGCAGGGCTGGCTGGCATGTGGTGCTGGGGGATTGAACCGCGGTCCCTGATGCTTTTGCTAAGCTTGTTCTAAGTAGGTGCTCCAGACCACTGAGCCATCTCTCCAGCCCTATACCCACCCTTTTGGACAAGAGTAGAAATAGTAGAGTTCCCATGGATATAGTCAGAAAAACAAGAAGGTATTTCATCTTAGACATGCCAGGGTGGAAGGTCTATACAGAGGTAGATGCTTGCTCAGTGTGGACAGAACACACCTTTGGGGATCATCTTAGACAGAAAAATATTGCTGTCTCTTCTCTTTAGGGGACCCTGTCAGGCAGAAGGAAACCTGATCCAAAGGAAGACGTAAGGGTGGCAGCACAGTTAATAAGTTAATATATGTTGGGTGTGATGTTACCTAGAGAACAGCTTACTGTTAGTATAGAAATCAGAAATAGTACTGTAGCTAAAAAAGCTAGGTAAGAGATTCACCCAAGTCCAGAGGTAAAGAGCAGACTCACAGAAGGAGTATGAGTCCTCGGTCTTCTGAAACGATGATGTCTACTGGCTTTGTTCCTACCTGAGTCTACAGTTGGTCCAGGGTAGCTGATGCCTGTGTACTGTGCAAGCGAAGTACTGACAGCGTGTGCTGTGTAGACACAGCCCGTGTTGACATTTGTTGACTCAATTGGCTCCCCTTCTTTTTTTCTAACAGGTGTGGTATCTGTGTGTTTTGAGGGGGACAGTGATGGTTACATCAACTTGGTAGCCTACCCTTACGTGGAGAGTGAGACCATGGAGCAGGATGATGCACCAGAACGGGAGCAACCTCGGCGCAAACATTCCCGCCGGAGCCTGCATCGGTCAGGCAGTGGCAGTGACCACAAGGAGGAGAAAGCCACCTTGTCCCTTGAGACCTCGGAGAGGTAAGAGATGGTAACCAGAGGTGTAGGTATGTTTCAGCTTGCTGGCATAAGCACACAGAACATCTTAGGAGTCTCGACACATCCTGGGGAAGCAGCTCTCAAAGTTAAAGGTAGCTACACTCAGGAAGCTGAGGCAGGAGGATTCTTGTAAGTTTGAGACCAGCCTGGGCTACAAAGTGAGCTCAAGGCCAGCCTGAACTGCATAGTGAGACCATGTCTCAAAAAGACAAAACCTCCAAAAGACAACAACAAAAAAACACCACCAAATTAAGGGTAGCTGGAGTTTTGGAGTCACCCTTAGAGATATGGCCTCCTCTGTGTGTTATATCCCCCTAATGGTTCTTTTTGGATATGGCTAGAACTAATTGAGAGAAGTTGAAGTTCTCTGAGCCCTGTAGAAGCATGTCACACTCACAAGATAAAGGTTGGCTAGGTGTGTGGTACATTCCTATAATCCCAGCTAGTCAGGAGGCTGAGAAGATTCAAAGTTGGAAACCAGCCTGGCAGTTTAGTGATAACCTACCTCACACAAAAAAATGGGTTTGAGTACGGGTGTAGCCCAGCCATAGGTTTTTGTTTTGTTTAATATAATTTACCTGTACTTTATTTACTCAGTTGAGGGCTTCTGGATTGTGTGTATAAAATGCTCTGTGCAGTTGATCCCCACATTGTTCACACTGACTTCAAGTTGTTCAGTTGCTGCTTTTGGTTTGTTTTCTTTCAGGATCAAGGTGCGTGCTTTCATATAAAATCTTATTTTTCATTCCTTTTCTGGGAACTCTTTCTTGGATTCTTTCCTTTGCATAATTATACCTGCAGTGGAACCAGCATCCTAAAGTCACCAGGATCAGTCCTCCTACACCAGCATCACATGATCTTCTAATTCTGCCTTCCCCTTCTTGGGCTGATGGCCTCCATGGCCGTGAGTCAGCAGCTGCCACTGCCCTAAGGGTGTGTGTGTGTGTGTGTGTGTGTGTGTGTGTGTGTGTGTCCAAAGAAGGGAGAGAAATTAGTTTCTAACTTGTAGTGCAATGGAGAACCCTTTAGAAGACATACCAACCATATGCCAGTTGCAACCCAAATCCACGTATTTGTCACAAAGTGCCAACACTGCAGTTAAACCTGAACTGAGGTTTTCATTTAGAAAAAACAACTCATACATTACCATCTTTATTTTAAAAGAAAAACATGGTTGGGGCTGGAGAGATGGCTCAGTGGTCTAAAGCACCTACTTGGAACAAGCTTGGCAAGGCATCAGGGACCGCGGTTCAATCCCCCAGCACCACATGCCAGCCAGCCCCGCCCCCTGGTGGGCTGAGCTGGCCACACACACACACCTCTCTCTCTCTCACTCTCTCTCTCTCTCTCTCTCTCTCTCTCTCTCTCTCTCTCTCTCTCTCAAATAAATAAAAAAAAAATTTAAAAAGAAAAAGAAAAACATGGTAATGTGTACAGTAGGTTTGCGGAGCCATCACAGTCTTTTGTAGTCTCCATGTAGCCTCTGAGAATCTGGTTATCAGTCCTCTCATTGCACTTAAAATATATTCCATTAGAAACTGATTTTCTTCAAAGATGAGAAAAATAATCTTCGTAAATAATTATACCAAAAACAGTTATGCCAGCTGAGTATGGTGGCACATGCCTAAAATCCTAGCACTTTGGGAGACAGGCCCAGGATTGCAAGTTTGAGCCCAGCCTGAGTGACTTAGTGAGATCCTGTCTCCAAAAAAACAAAAAAGGATTGGAGTTGTTGTAGTTTGGTAGAAAGGCTTTAGGTTTGATCTGTAATACTGCATAAAGAAAAGAAAGAGGGGCAGGGAGATGGCTCAGTAGCGTAGGCATTTGCCTGGCAAGCACAGGGACCTGAGTTCAATCTCCAGTTCCACACAAAAAAAAAAAAAGAAAAGAAAGAAGTATGTTGCTTGATATTTCATGCAGAAATTACACGAGAGCTCTTACTACAACGGGTCTCATTAGAAGGGTAGCAATAAAAGTAATGACTCGAATATGGAGATAGGAACCTTCTTACCGTGCAGGTGGATATTAAGTGGTGTAGTCACTTTGAAAACAGTTTGAGGGCTGGTGAGATGGCTCAGTGGTCTAGAGCACCTACTTAGAACAAGAACAAGCTCAGCAAAGCACAGGGACCGTGGTTCAGTCTCCCAGCACCACATGCCAGCCAGCCCCGCCCCCTGGTGGGCCGAGCTGGCCACACACACACTAAATAAATAAATAAATAAATAAACAAACAAATAAAAAAAAAAAGTTTGACATTTCTTCAAAAAGTGAAACCTTGGAGCCAGGTGTGGTAGCACACACCTGTAATCCCAGCATTTAGGAGGCTGAAGTAGGAGGATCACCATGAGTTTAAGGCCAATGTGAAGTACATATTGAGATCCTGTCAAAAGAAGGGAAGGAGGGAGGAAAGAAAGAAGAAAAAAAAGAGAGAAAAGAAATGAAACCTAAGGTGAAATAGCTCAGTGGATTAAGCACCTACTTAGGCAAGTGCAGGAACTGGGGTTTGATCCCTGGCACCTCATGCCCCGCTGGCACCTCCTTTGGGGGCTTGCTGAGCCAGCCACCAAGACCGGACATGGTGGCGCAACCCTGTAATCCCAGTGCTGGGGAGGCTGAAAACAGGAGGATCACTACGAATGCGAGCTGTGTATTGAGACCTTGTACCAAATACATTTTTTAAAAAAAGAAAAAAGAAACCTAGGAGCCGGGGAGATAGCTCAGTAGAGGGACTGAGTTCAATCCCCAGTTCTGCAGAAAAACAAACCTAGTAATTTAACTCCTAGATATGCACCCAGTAGAATTGAATACATAAACCCAATCCATATAAAACTTGTACACATTCTGTTTTCTTTTCTTTTCTTTTCTTTTTTTTTTTGCGGAACTGGGGATTGAACTGAGGCCTCTGCGCTTGCTAGGCAAGCGTTTATTCCACCGAGCCATCTCCCCGGCCCCCAAACTTGTACACATTCTTAGCATTATCCCTATAGCCAGAATGTGCCCATCATCTGATGAGTAGATAGATACAATGTGGTATATCCATGACATGGAAGATTATTGTCATAAAAAGGAAGCTACAACATACATGAATCTCAACATCAAGTGAAAGAAGCCAGGTACAGAAGACTACATGCTATATGTTCTGTTGGATAGAGTAGAGAATAGGCAAAGCCACAGATAGAAAAGGCAGTGCTGGTTCTCTGTTAGTGGTTAGTGCTCAGGTAGGAAGAAGTAAAGAATCACTGCAAAGCTTTGCTTTTTAGGGAGAAGAAAGTATTCTAAAAATTATAGTGTTTATACTTTATAGCCTACTGAATATGCTATAAGGCCACTGAATGGTAAAATAATAAAATTAATGTGAGCCTCATATCAAATTGAAATAAAAATTGTGCATTTAAATAATTTTAATTTCATTTAAAAGTTTAAAAAAGTAAGTCTCATGAATAATAAGCTCTGTGACTTGATTTAGAAGTTGAAGCTAGGAGCTGTGAATATAGCTCAAGCCTGTGGCTTTCCTCAGTCTGCAGAAGGCGAGCAGTTGCAGGGCCATGATGTGGAGGATGAATTCAGGGTTGCTGTGGTAGGAGTTGTGGCTCGCTTCCAGTATCCAGGAAGCGGTTTCACCAGGGATGTATGTTTTCTGGGCTTGTCAGTATGAAAAACAGGGTTTTTTTTGTTTGTTTTTTGTGGTACCAGGGATTGAACTCAGGGCCCTGCACTTGTCAGGCAGGTGCTTATTCTACTGAGCTATCTCCCCAGCCCTGAAAAAACAGTATTGTCAGTTATTTTAAGCAAAGATTTTTATGTTGGAACCTAGCCAAATTGTGGCAGGCTTTTAGTGTTTTTAATTAGTAACCTTCCTGCCAAAACCCCTTTGTAGTTTGACTTATTTTAGAAATAAAATTTTCTCTTGGGGCCAGCGAGATAGCTCAGTGGTCAAGAGTGCCTGCTTAGGCAAGCACAGGGGACTGTGGTTCCATCCTTGGCACCACATGCTGCGCCATCCCTGCCCTCAGGGCAGGCTCAGTGGGCCAAAGAGAAAGAAATAAAATTCTCTCGCTTAACATGTCTTCATGGTTTCCATAGGCACAAGTCTAAACCTGAGAAACACAAGTATCTTGAAAGCTTGGACTCTGCTCACAGTAGAATGTCTGGCTTTTCTTTCTATGGTATTTTCCTCCTACTAGACCTGATGCAAAGATAGGCAATTCATAAACATGATGCCAACATACGCTTTCTAAAATCTTTTTTTTTTAAATTTTATTTATTTATTT